TATTTTTACATCTGAGCCAACTTGCACTTTCTGTCCTCAGCTCAAAGAAAAAAGATGTTAAACGGTCAGTGTGCACTGGCACGTGAGCTGTGATCAGGTAATTTGGGATCACACCACAGAAATCACATATGGGCTTTTGGGACTGGGAATTCCATTCCTGTTCAAACAATGATCAGGTAGGGGAGGGAAGATTGGGGGGGAGGGGGGGGGGAATCATAGTTCCTGAAAAGCAAAATTGCACCATTGAAAAAGAAAGTAAAAGCAAACAAACAAACATCTTCCTCTCCTTATTCTGGGGGGGGGGGAAATGAAATTCAAAGACAAAGAAATACTGTAGCACATATTGAACCAAAATGAGGTTACATTAACACATGAGCACCTGTAGTTATGGCTGCAATCCAACTGGCCATAACCCCCTGTTTTCTGTCATTCATAAGCCTTGAAGTATTTTCCCCTAGGTCTGAGACTTTCCATGCCTGGTCTCAGTTCCAAAGTGAATTTCTACCCTTTTTTCGTTCATTTTATTTTCATGTTTATTCTATTTTATACCTCTTTAATTCCCCTAATCCTCAGCTATCCTTTTTTTATCCGTATTCCCTCACCCCTCCTCTATCAATTGGGGTTAACTGCCCATTAAACCTGTGTTGAGATTATTATAAAACTGGTGGCTGTTAATGCTAACCTTTGCAAAGTCAATTTGTTGAAGCCTGGGGAATTTTTGATCTCTGAGCATAAATAACTCCAAAATATGTGCAAAGTTCAGACCTAGACTTCAAAAAACTCCAGACCTGAGTATGTCCAGATCTAAGGTTGTTGTTTGACCCATTATGAAGAACTAATGGGGTAGCTGTAAAATTCCAATTCTAATGCAGATTACAATTCTCAACCCAAGCCCAAAAGTTAAGGTATTCTGGATCCATTGTTCTGTGGAAGGCCTATTTATAGGCAAAAACTGCTTCAGAGCTCATATATGGCCTCACTGAGGGAAACAAATGTTTTAGAACTACAGAATTCTAAGGGATTGAATCGTGGACACCTGTCACTAGCTACCCAGCATGCAGTATTGTGTGCAGTGTGGGTATTCTCGTGGGACTGTGGTCCAGTTTTCAAGATGATAACCAGGGAGAGGGAAATTAGATCCTAAATTCCCTGAATACTGTGAAAGTCACTGATAAGTAATTGTTTCATATTCAGGTCTGGAGATGATGGGCTTCTAGAGTGAGGAGCTAATTTGTGCCACTCTAGCTCCGCTTGGTGATCTGTGAGCTGCTGGGCAATCCTTGAACCTTATGGGAGGAGAAGTCTGTTCCTCTTTCACCTCCCACTCCACACATACGCACAACCACATATACAGTCCCAATATGGAGGAGACATGAAGAAAGTGGTGGAGGATCTCCTGCTTTAGGATAGGACCTGGGGGTGCAGGATAGACCTAAAACTAATGAAAAAGCATTGAAAGAGATCCCAGCTCAGCCCCACTGCCCTGGCTTGAATAGGAAGGGGAAGATCCTGATGACCCATCCCCTAGGAGGGTGGGAGAGAGAGGGGAGTCCCAAAGTGGTAACTGGGTGGCTACCTCCCCAAGGCTAGAGAAGAGAGAGAGAAGGATAAAGGAAAGCAGTTATGGGGCAATCATTGAAAGGGTAGTGTATGCTAACCAATGCACAGTTATGGTTATTTCTTGTTCTAAATAGAGGTAATTTCAGATACCATTGTGTGGTGCTGGCAAATGCTAACTTTTTATTGCCAACTGCTGTTCTATAGATGGGGTATTTGGGGTAGCAGACACAAAAGGTGAAGTGACTTACTGAAACTCACACAGCAAGTCAGAGGCAGAGCTAGGACTAGACTCCATGGGCTAAATTCTCTTCTGGTGTAAATTGACCCAGCTCCATTGAAATCTCTAAAGCTATGCAAATATATGCCAATGGAGAATTTGGACCCACATCCCCAGCTTCTAGTCCACTGACCCAATCGCCTGGAACCAAACTACCTCTCATAAAGCAGGACAGCTCACAGCCAGTTCTCCAGAACTGTACTGCTCTATGAATTTGGATCTCACTGTGTGTGTGCCTATACAAAGGGAGCAGCTAGTTTCCCACAATGCCCACTGATGCGCAATGCGTTTTGGTGGGCAGACTGGTGTGTGCACTTGAGAGCAATTCATTTACCACTTGGGGGAAAAGGAGGTTAACAAACAAAGGAAACAAGCAAACACTTTTTTCCTCACAAAGTATTTTATTCTGTACTTCTTCTAAATCAAAGTATTTGAAAATTATATACGAAAGTTCAGGCACAAACTCTGAGAATTGGGCTTGAAATCTAAAGTTAGAGGTGTCATTTTACCCACACATGACATTCTTGAATTACATTAAAAGCTTTTGGAGCTTCTCTCAAAACCTCATGAAACTTCATACCCCAGTACAAATGCAGACGTACGTTTCTGAAGTAAAACATGCTACATCTTCTTCAGATATCATCAAGACAGTATAGAGAAGGATCCTGTTCACTTTCTTAAACCTTCCTTCAGAAATATGTAACTTTTACAGGGCAACAATGTGGTGTAAAGCCCATTGCGCTCATAGCACGTGTACTGACTGTTCCTACCTGCTAAGTGTGGACCTCATGCTACAGAAGATCAAGCCTTCCTGGTACAGCAGAGCAAACCTTGTTAATTATAGCTTCAGTCTGTTCAGTGGATGTCTTCTACCTCTTTCTCCTCATCCATCCAAGTCAGGATCTATTTTTGTTGCCTGGATAAGAGCAGCAAAACGGTCAAGCCAAAATTGGAAGTGGTCAGCCAGACAATTGCGCACAGTGCCTCATCAGACATAAAGCAGTGTGTTACTAGAGATCCCTTAGAACTAGCAAAGAGGCTGCTCACCTTCATGTGACTTGAAAAGAAGTGCTTTTTTAAAGGTTCTCTGAATGTTTATGAGTAAACAAACAAGAGGGCGAGTAGGCCATCCATGTCTGTAAATCCCGGCCCCCCCCTACCCCAGAGCACCAACTGAATAGCCGTAAATAAGGCAAGTGCAAGACTGTAGTTGAAAATAAAAGAGCAAAATAAAGCTCTATTCTCTGCTTGGCATGGTTTCTGACTGTGTTTGCTGTCTGACAGTGTCACTGTGAATTACAGTACATTGGGTCGTTATTACATATGTGGTGGCACAGACAACAAGAGCAACATGGGAAATCTTATGTATTTCTTTTTTTGTCACTGAATAAGTGTTGTCCTTCTCTCCGTTACTTTTAGATCACTATAAATCCAGCTACAGATGTTTGGAATTACATTTAAGGCGTCTGACTAGCTTAACCCAGCAATGTTACTATGTACGCACCAGACCTATCAGCTGTCTACTTGAAAAAATGCCACCCACCGGCTTCACTCGATGGGGAGCTTGGTGGGGCTGGAGGCACTGAGACAGCCCCAGTTGAACAGAGGAAGAGAATGCACTGAAGGCTCGCGGGGGGGGGGGGGGCTCGCGGGCGGGGCGGGGGCCCTCCCCTTCAGAGTCTCTAGCTACTCATTGGCTAGCTTGGGGAGGACAGAGGTGATTGGTCCCTCACCCTTCCCTTTCATTAATTTAAAAGCTAGCCTGGATGGCATACGGAGTCCTTTTTGCTCTTTCCAGCAGCCTCATGTTCCCCACACCGTAATGGTAGCCTCAGAGCTGTATTTTGCAGGTGTGGCAGGTCTGACCAATCCCTTGTTTTGGCATCAGGAAATAATTTTTTTCTTTCCAAATTGACAGAGACCTGGAGAGTTTGTCACCTTTCTCACAGCATAGTTAAATAGGAATATGATTTAATAATTAAGTATAGTACTTGGTAAGGTTTGTCACAACTTGTGGCTGGTTTTCAATGCCTGGGGTTTTACTGATGGACCTTGTACTCATATGATAAGGAATATTTTGTGGCCCTCATGGGCCAAGGGTCCCCTTTTAGTACCCTCTGTCCCCCTCAGGGAAAGCAGGTGGTTGAACTGAGGGGTAGGCTGAGGAGAATATACCCCAATTTATGGGTTATACAGTAGGAGTCCTGTGATTCCACAGTGGAACCACTTAAAATGCATGCTAGGTGAGATTCTGGATGACAGGGTGGGTAGCATCCCTCCCCTGTGTTAAGTTTAATAAAGTTGTGGCCTGCTGCTTAAAATCCATTCCTGTGTTTGTCCTCAGTCACTGCTGTCTCCACACTGAGCAGGACAGGATTCCAGGCATGCTGGGACAAAGGAACAAAATCCAGCTCAATCTCTGGGGCTAATGCAGACTCAGGAAGCAACACAGCTCTTCCATTTTTGAAAAGGAAGAATTATAAAAGCAGAGACAATCATTACTTTTAAACCTGATGTTGTTCTGAGTGTTAGAGTACTTACTGAAGGATAATGTAATTCCTAGAGCAGATGAAGAGAATTGTTAGCACCAAATCATATGTTTATCTAGCCCCCTGCTCTACAGTGTCCGACTACTTCCCAAGTATTTATCCTCATCACACCCCGGCCAGGTAAAGAGGTATTATTATTCCCATTTTACAGATGGGACATTGAGACAAAGGGAAGTTACAATCAAAAGTGCTGAGCACCCGCAGTTGGGGTTAGATATTCAGAAAAACTCAGTATTCCAGGTAATGAATTCCGTCTGAAACTCTGGACATAAAAGTCCCAAAGGGAGCAGAATGCTTTTTGAAAAGTGAGCCCCTTTGATTTAAGTGCTGAAGGGGATCTGAGCTCTTCAGCAAATCTGACCCTAATTGTGGGTGCTAAACACTTGAAAATCCTCTAGAGCAACACAACTACAAGGACTAGCATGCCAGTCTTCATGCCTCCCAGCCCAGTGCCTTAATTACAAGACCAGCCTTCCTCTGACCTGGTCTCTGCCATGGTCCCTTATACCCAAATTTATTTTATGAGTTAATAAGTGCACTAAACAGCATTTTTTGTCTTGATACCTATTTTTGTCCTTCCGATCTCTCAACCTGTAGTATTTTCCTTCCACAAGGTGTAGAAGAGGAGCCATATGTGGATTCCCTCTGATGATATTTTTCCAGAAGACCTTGTAAGTTGACATTAATTATTTTGACTGCATGCATGTATTCATCACTGCAGACTGCTGTTCAACTATTTTGGCTTTTTTATAAAAAAAAGGTGGGGGAAATATAGGGAATCTTGTGCTACGTTGAAATATTGTTTTAGAAAGAGCTCAGTGGAATCATGTTCAGTTCTACAAAGATCTCCAACAACTCAGAAGCCCTTCTGCAAACCCTGGCCAAAGATCTGAATTGTTTAGTAGTTGTTTCACTGTAAGAAGTAAATGTAATATTTAGCAGATTAGTACTTGGGCACGGATGGGACCCAGCCCTGCTATATTATTAAAATTAAAAACTGTCCTGATGCCTCTTCATTATGGGGTAGGTTGGCTTTAGAAGATTTGAACACATTATCTTCAAAGTTATCTCTGTTGATATGTGAGTTGTTGACCTGCAGCAGGCAGGAGCTCAAATCAGTGCTGTACTTTTCTTTTTCCAACAAAGCCATGGAAATCTGATGGACTTGCTGGGCAATATTAAATCCCAAGCAAAAGCTTTATAAAAGCTACTTCAGAACACTATCAAATTATTAGTATGCTTTCTCATAATACAGATGGCTTCTCATTTTATTGAGAGAGAGAGACAGAGAGAAAGAGAGAGAGAGATTTTTTCCAGCCCTCTTGGGAATGATTTTATTGAAAGTATCAAAATTGGGAAGATGACTGCATCATTTCTCTGATGCCAGGGGTCAGAATCTTTGACTGGTTTGTAGTAATGTAACATATAAAAATTCACTCAGCTCTCATTCTCTGCCTTTTATTTAATGTACAATCCAGCTAGAGCCACTTTCATTTTTCACATTACTGTCCCTCACACTGAATGTTTGCCTTTGGTGTTTTAAATATTTCTGATCATGGATCCTAAGACAGGGAAAACCTTAGGAAAATTGCCGTTGGCCTAATATGCATGAATGTATAATTGCCAATAAAACAGCATTTTGTTATTCTACCTGAATAACTGACACTGAATAAACATGTACTGCATCTCTTGTTGGAAGGTGTTGCTTGAAATGTGGTTCTGCTCTGTAAAGTGTCTATATAAAATTGGCATCTTTTTACTAGTTCCCTGGGAGTCACATCTGCATACTTTAGTGATTAAAATAAGTGGTTAATACTTTAGCTTCTGTTAATACTAAATAGCAAATACAACTGAAAGACAGCGGATGTAAAAACTGTAAACTGTTGGCATCTACTTCTTCTTGTTCATTGCTATCAAATAGGTTTTCTGAGTTTCAGTAAAGGGGCCAATCAGTTACACCTGTGCAACCTTACTGAAGGCTTAACCCCTCCCAGGGCATAATTTGAAGATAATGGTCTGAAGGCATGAAAAAATATCCAGCAAATGCATTCTCCCTGCCATGCATGGCTGGGCCCTTGGAGTACAAGTCTTTTGCATTGCAATACTAATGTATAAAATGTTGGCTGCCAAACCAAACTCACAGTGTTGAAGTTTGAATTGACATGTTCAAAGAGGGCTGGTTCAAGTAGGTTCTGATTTCCTTTAGAATTGTTCAGCTAGCCCCACAGTGCTATATCCACCTTGGTTAATTATAAATAAATGTTAGGAGGCCTGTATGTTGTTAGTTAGTCAAATCCAGTTCCTGTGGGTCAAGAGTTATAAAATCCACCAGCCATTTAATTCAGGGTTGAGGAACATTGGTGAAACAACAAAGAGAAGCTTACTGTCCAGGATCTCTCTATGCATGTGATCCTTGTGTTACAGAATCCTCATCTTTGTTTGCATGGAGAAACGAACCCCAACAAGCCATCTATAAATACCTCAACTTCCACTACTCATAACTAGCTCTATTAATGCATCCCTTTCCCAAACATCCCACTTCAAAATGGGCAGGTTACTGATGTCTGCCTGAGTGCCCCAGACATCATAGGGCCCAAGAAAACCAAGGACCAGGACTTACTGCTCTGCTTCTGTCTATGCCTTCTCTATTCTGTGAATACATGTGGTAGTGAGTGTAATCTTACACATTTCCCAAGAAATAAACTCACTTAAAATATTATCAACGAACAAACACTACTAGTATCTTTCTGAGATCTGATTTGGTAGCTAATTTACAAATGATTGACTACACAGTTGTGAGAGCATGGGAACCTCTATGAGCAATTGTCAGCACTAGAATAGTAGATTTCAGAGTAGCAGCTGTGTTAGTCTGTATCCGCAAAAAGAAAAGGAGTACTTGTGGCACCTTAGAGACTAACAGATTTATTTGAGCATAAGCTTTCTTGAGCTACTGCATCTGATGAAGTGAGCTGTAGCTCACGAAAGCTTATGCTCAAATAAATTTGTTAGTCTCTAGAATAGTAGAGAAACCAATTTTTAAGAACTGAAAACTATAGCAAAGAAGAAAGTCCTTGAAGGAACAGGGCAGAAGGTCTGCTCTAAGCATGAATTTATGAAAATGCTTGGTCAAAACAAAAGAAGATGGCAGCATCATTTCACATATGTGTTCCTCGTGGTTGGTTATTATTATTCCAATTTTTGACACTTGAATGAAATGTGGTATAATTGGGCTTCAGAGCCACTGCTTCAGGCAACATCAATTGCCTTTTTTAAAAATGATGATGGCATTGAGGGAGAATCTTTTTTTTCCTTTTATTTTTTGAATTTGCTGCGCACTCAGTGCCTCTTGCACAATACACAGAAGGGGCATTGTACTCCTGGGAGGGCCTGCAATGCTGGGGGACTGATCCTGTGAAGAAATATGAGATGGAGAAGAAAAGTAAACATACTGTAGGACGTTACACTACAGCTACTCCCATGGTATTCCTCCTTCTTGTCTCTCTCTAGCCTTTTAGAGAATACTGTTCCCTGCCTTTTTTAACTTTGATTCAAGTTTGAATTCTATCAAATTTGAAGGACTTGAAGCTGCCAAGAAAGGAAAATCTTTTCCTAAACTGTTCACTTCTACCATAAAAAACACCATTTCATCTTTTGTTTGTATTTATTTGTATGCTGCGTGTTTGGTTGGTTTTGTTTGATTTTGGGAGGTGGGGCTGCAATTTAAGGTGAAAGAGAGACTGAAACTTGTAAGTTTTAAAGGTTCTCTGAGCAGGAACAGGAAAGATTTGGTCTATGTTTTGCTTTTGCAGTAGGAATTATTTGTTTCATAGTGAACAGCAAAGCTTTTAAAAATAAAGCTGAAAGTGCCAAAGAGAATAACAGAAAAAAATGAACATACCAAAGGGTGAATCTTCAGGGGTCTGTGCAGGAGGCTGAGTTCTGCTCCATACAGCTCAGAAGGGGAGATGAAAAGGTGCTGGTATACTACCTACTTCTCCCCAATCCAGGGGCTGCTTCTGCCCTGGCACAATTTATAGTAGTATTGTGGCTGCTTAAAATTTCAGTGGCCGCAAATGGACCATCCACTGATCAGATCACCGGAGTACAGCAGCATTCCAGCCACAACCCCAACACCAAGGCCAGGGTGGTGGTGCAGAGCCACATAGTTGGCTCTTCCCGACCTGGGGATTCCCTTGCTCTAGCTTAGGAGAATTCCAGCCAGCTGGTTAAACCTGTGTATTTAAGCTTTGCACTGTCACTGGAATGGCTGGTGGAACAGAGGACCAGGATTTGGCCCTGTATATATAGATTAAATAAACAAACCCTGGATCCAAGCACTCCCATTTGCAGCTCTATCACTATAATAGGCCAGAGTGAAAACATTGTCAAAGGATGGAACCATTCAGAACCCAATCCAGACATCAGCTCCTCAGGCCTACCACTTCTGCATCTACTTACCAGGCAGATTCTGAGTTCCGGCTTCCTTGTTTCCGCTGTGACAGCTGGTAAGATTGCAAATATCTGAAGCAGAGCTGGAAGCTGGCTGTATGTCTTCAGCTGTAGCAGGGCTTCAATCCTGAACTCTGATACTTTTTTTTCAAATGCATTGCTTTAAAATGGAAACCTTTGTGCAATTATTAAGTGTAGACGTTTAACTAGTAATGATTTAGGATCTTAAACAATTCTTAAACATTCTTTTTAACCAAACCTTTGCAGTTAACCTTTAACAGCTTCCAGTTTATGGAATCTTTTACAAGATGGGGCAGGAAATCAATAACTCTAAGCAAAGCAAAAGCAACAGCAATAGCATCAGCATGGTCCATATCATCCTGGTATGCCAGCACTAGTGATCACTTAGAGCAAGCAGGAACCTGGAAGCAAAACAGCTGTGTTCTCTGGCTGGTTTACTTTTCCATTTTAAACTAGGTTTCAGAGTAACAGCCATGTTAGTCTGTATTCGCAAAAAGAAAAGAAGTACTTATGACACCTTAGAGACTAACCAATTTATTGGAGCATAAGCTTTCCTGAGCTGCAGCTCACTTCATCGGATGCATCCGATGAAGTGAGCTGTAGCTCACGAAAACTTATGCTCATTTTAAACTAGTTCACCATTAAGAGAAGGGAGAGTGAAGCACACTGAGTCACTGTCACCTAGGAAAGGAACACTGAGTGAAAGATGTTTGTATGCAGAGTATGGCCTAAATCCATTGATTTCAGAGAGATCACTAGTTTGTGTATTGCAAGCAGGATTTAGACCTGTATTTAGTCTTGATATTATTTTGGTCAAGGCTTTTGTTCTTGTTTTATAGAATTTAAGTAGCACAAGCCAGAGAGAGACTTAATGTCAGCCTAATCATCTATCCATCTCATCTTCTCTCTCTATACAAAAAATCTCCATCTTTCAGTAAGTTCAGCTCCCCAGTGCTTTTGTCTCACATGTTAAAGAGCTGGATGTGAGGTCAGGCACTAACTGTTTCATGTGGATAGAGTAAGTCAGTCTAGGTCTTCTTCTCTTCCTCCCCTTAATTCCTCTGAATATCCTGCTATGGAAACAGCCTCTTTTGTGGCAATGGGGGCTTTCTTTGTAAACAGCACACTGCTCAAATGCGTCAAAAAGCAATCTGGGGACGTCCATGGGACTGCTACGAATATGTTAGGTGTATGATAATGC